TGGCGACTACGATGATGACGATGACGATGACGATGACGATGGGGATGATGATGATGCTGATGCAAGTGATGCTGACGATGATGGTGCCGATGATGATGATGATGATGGTGGTGACGATGATGATGACGAGGCGGATCATGATGATGATGATGGCGACGCTAATTATTCGGATGAAGACGATGATGACGATGATGATGTTGATTATGGTGTTGATGCCGATAATGTCGATGATGAGGATGATGATGACGATCGTGGCGACGATGATGATGATGAAGAGGATGATGATTGTGATGGTGATGGTGATGGTGATGGTGGTGATGATATGGTGACGATAATTATACTGATGACGACGATGACGATGATGATGATGACCATGATGCTGATGATGATGCTGATGATGCTGGTGATGATAATGATGCTGCTGATGAGGATGACGATGATGATGATGATGATTACCATGATGACGCTGTTGCTGCTGATGGTGATTATGATGATGATAATGATGATGCTGCTGGTGATGATGATGGTGATGATGATGATGATGATGATGTCGAGCCCCCATGGGGCTTCCAAGCTTTCCCAAAGGTTGGGGCGTTTCTCGGATTTCCATGGGGCCCCAACGTCTTCCCATGGATCGCTAGGATTCGCTAGTAATCCAAAGGTTTCGGTAGAATTCGATAGGAATCCGAAGGTTTCGACCGGATTCGCTAGTAATCCACAAGTTCCGGCAGGACTCCTCGCGGGCGTGCGCAGAGTTCTGCGCCCAACAAACATGCGCGCACTGGCGAGGCGAGGTCAGACGGTGAAGCCGGGCAGCCGACCAGCCGGTCAGCCAGTGAAGGGTCCCATCTGGGTGGTGAAGGGCCCCATCCGGCCGGTGAAGACATTTTTCTCGGGGGGGGGGGGGGGGTCGAACCGGTGGCGGCCCCCCCCCCGGTTTTCGAGGGGGAGGGGGGCGGGGGTTCGAACTGGCAGCGGCCCCCCCCTTTTCATGATGAGCGGGGGGGGGGGTTCGAACCGGCAGTGACCCCCCCCCTGGTTTTCCGGAGAGAGGGGGGAAGGGGGTTCGAATCGGCAGTGACACCCATCCGGATTTCCGCCAGCAGCGGTAGAACACGCTCTTTCCATCGTCAGGGGCGGTCGTGGAGGACCGTGGCGACGTTCTAATGCCGCCCGGCAAGAATCCTCAGCCGTGAATGAAATGCCAGTTGCGGGGGAAATGCAGTGCCTGGGCGGCGGTGGGCATGGGTCTCCAGGACGGCGTCGAGTACAACGCTGGCAGCGACGTCGCGATTCAGCCCCCACGTAACTCCAAGAAGAGAGAGGGTAGAACCAAGACTCGTCGTCTCACAGAAGCCCCCTCCGCCGCCCCGACAGGTGCTGAACGCCCGAGGCCCAATGGAGGGCTGAAGACCTCAACGCAGCGCAGCTTTTGTTGCAGCGACGGTTGCCAGCCTTCCGGCGGCGGAAACAGCGCCCCCCTGTCCTCGCAACGAAACCTGGCCGAGGTGCGCACCCCCGGGAAGGGCTCCTGATAACGCCAATGGGAAGGTGGGCGCATGCAGCAATTTCCAATCGCCTGGAGCCGCGACCGAAGTATCCAAGATCCATCTTCCGACGCGAACCTCCAGGTGGGCAATCGGAGCCATCGGCGCTCGAAACCATCGAATATCTGATGCGCCCCACTCTGGATCTTCCCGCCAGTCCGCTGTTGGGAGAGGGGCGGCGGGCGGAGCACTCGCTAGTGCGCCCCGCCATCGAGTTCCTCCACCATGGAGAAAGCTGCCGACCAAGACAGATCTCATCATCCCACATGCCATCAATTAGCTGCCCTAGGTCATGCGTGGCCAGGTCAATCGCCAGACATGTGGCCCAGGCGCAATGTGCAATTGCTCTTGACATCAACTGCAAGTCCACAAATTCAACTGACATCCCTAGACCTCGAAACTGACTGGGCATGCAATGGTTAGCGCGTGCCTGGGGCCCGCCGTTCAGATCTGCACCGCCTCCGGATGTTGCCCAGCCGCCTCAGGAGTGGCCCGAACGAGTGGAAGCCGATATTGGAATGCCGATAAGCAGTCGAGGGACGCATTCGAATCGTCGTCGATGGCCCCAAGGAGAGAGGCCGAAGATGTCGCGCCCTCTGCCAGTGCGAGCCGTCGGCCCAACCGAGAGACCAAGGTCTAACGCGTGGGTCGCGCATTTTTTCGTGGAGCAGACGCCCCTTCCTGCTCGCGTGCCCAGGGGGGCGCTCGCCATGAAACGCCCGCGAACTAACGCGCAGCATTCTAGCAGTTCTAGCAGTGGGCGCGCAGGAATCAAATCAACGGGGATTGTCTGCAGACCGAAGCAGCAATCATCGGCGTGCGCGAGCCCCGGATCAAGCCCGTGCGCGCGCTGGCACGTGCCCCACCTAATAACGAGGTCCAACGCCAGAGAGAGGAGAGTCATTGACGACGGATCTCCCTGCCATGCTGCGCGCGCGGCTGGGGGCCCGATCTCCGCTGCCCCAGCGACGCGGGCCACTGCGACGTTACCCCTGCCAAGAGACATGCAAGGGCCACTGGCCGCCTGCGGGGCGCCCGGAACATCCGCGCCGAAAGGGAATCGACGGGGGGGCCGCCCAGGAATCGCGATAAGATGCCAGCCAGATTCATCGAATCCCAGCAAATACAGAAACCCCCATTTCTCCGCCCCCAGCACATTATCCTGAATCACACAGCCCCCGACGCCCGGGCGCTGCAGCTCAAGGGCCGCCCGCGGCGCCACCTTGCCCAGGCGAACGCGGGGCGCGCCCGAGGAAATCTGGGCGCCCGGGTCGGGGCGACACCGGGGGCGGGTAGAACGAGGCAGCCTCGAGACGCAACAGTCTGATCGGCAGGCCCCCCCCCCCCTTTCGGCGGGAATGCCGCCCCGCTTGTCCTGCAGCCCCCGGGGGGGACAGCGCCCCCGCCATCGCCAACTGCTTCGCAAGCATCAAATAGAACATCAAGAACTCGAAGAATCGCCCAGGACCCATCTGGGGCGCCGTCTGGGTCAACGGCGCAACGCCGCTTGAAACGCGCGCGCATGTCGAACTCGCCCGGGCTCGCGAGGCAGCCGGCTCTGTGCATCGCGGGGGGAGTGGGCGTAAACTCTTTCACTGGAGAGCCAGCGCGCGGGCCGCGTCGTCGGAATTCGGACAGAGGCGGCCATTCTTGCCCGGCGCCCCCCTGGATCCAGCGCGACGTCTGACCACTGCCCAACCTCTCTTCGCAGCCAAAGGGCGCTTCCTCAGCGTGCCCTTGACCCCCTCGGGCCCCCAGCTCTAGCCCACTCTCTCCAGCCCCCCCTCAAACCAAAAGTTCTGCAAGACAACAATCAGCGAGCGCAGACCGTCGGGGCCCGCGCAGATGCCTCGGTCAACGCCAGAAGAAAAGAGAAAACATACAAAACAACCAAATAATTTTTAAACAAATATATGATCGCCTCATCTAAACGCACCGACAACTGCTGCATGTGCCATTCTGTGAGCGTCAAGGAGTCGCGCATCCAGGGTTCTCTGCAGATGAAACACGCGCGCGCTAAAAGGATCACGCGCGTCGGGCGCGCGCGCGCTCGACATCGCGAGGCCTCCCGCGTGCCCCGAGCAACGCAGGGGGGGGCCTCCTTTCCCCCCTCGATAGGATGGATCCATATGCGAGAACAAACCATGAAGAACATGAAATACAAATGTGGCGACTCCACGCGCTGCTCAATCCTCAATGGAAGCGCCGCATAGCGTGCCGGCGCGCATCGCGTCAGCTAGCGAGGCCGCGTCAGCCCCGGGGCCGTGGGCTTCCTGAAACATGCAATCTGTCACCTTTCAAGCAACCACTTTGCCCGCTGAAGCCCTGCGTTCCCCCAGTGGGAACGGGGCGGGATGGGGGCCAAAAAAGCGCGGGTGTTCCACGCAAGGAGCGCGGGCGGAGTAGAAGGGCGATAGACTCCACCCGCAGACCCAGCCGGCGGAAGAGGGGATTGCAACGATTTGTCAATTGAATTGCATCAGTCGCTAGTCTCGGGAGACAGGGGCCCAGTTTAGCCCGGGGATGCCGAAGCCCCAGAACTACTTCCGTCGAGCCCCCTTCCTGCGAGACGACTGGCGCACTCACCGAAGGGCGGGCCTCCGAGAAGCGGGCCTGCAAACGCGGCGCGCGCTTCCCCCTCGATCTCGGCCGAACCAATTGGTCCACCGCCGCGTTCCACTGTCAACAATGGAAACCTTCGCGGCAAAAGCCGGAATGGCATGCGTGGTCGCGTACATCCACCCCCCGACCACCGTGGATCCGGCGCGCCCCTGTCCGGGGATCCGCGCCGCTGGCGACCCCATCGCCTCCTTCTTCGTCCCACTTGCAGCACCCTCACGATCCTGACTGGCCTCAAGAAGGGGCTGTTCCTGGATTGAACGTTTGCGAAATGTTCCATCCTCTGCTTCGCGAGATCTGAATGAACTGCCTGTAAGCTCTGCAAATTCTTTTTCAGCTTGAGACATCTGGCAGTGGATTCCCCAAATATGATTGTTGGTCTCCGTAGTACCCCGATCCATCTGTTTTGTGAGAGGGTCTACACTGAACGAAAGAGGCTGAATGAGCTCCTTGAGAGCGGCAGTGCGGTTGGTGTCAGTCGTGCTCGTCTCGTGGGGCGGCGGGCAGTCGGAGCGGTCTTCGCTATCCCCACTTTCCACAAAAGGTGGTTAGAACATGAAGCCTCCCTGGCCACGGCATGGCCTGGCGCATCGCGCCCATGGCGGGAAGGGAAAACAGGAAACGGGCGCCGATGAGAAGCGGCCGCCGAAGCCAAAGGGGCGCGACCGCAGCCCGCCCTTGGTGCATGGCCACCAGGCGCCTTGAGAGACGCTGGGGAGTTAAAGAGCAGGCCCCTTGAACCAAAGCGGTTACGGCGGAGGAGGGGGAGGAGGAGGAGGAGGAAGAGGAGGAAAAAGAGGAGGAGAAGGAAGAAAAGGAGGCGAGCAGAGCGGCCGAGATCTGCGTCGAATCGGCGGAGCTCAGCGTGCCGCGGTCGCCGTCGGCGTGCGCCTCCTCGGCGCCCGCCGCCAGCGAGATGTCCGTGCTGCGAATGTAGCTCAGCTTGGGGCCGTCGCCCGCGTGCCCGTCGTCCTCCCGAGGCCGCCCGAATCCCACCAGCCATAACTGGGGGAGCTGTGGTCCTTATCCCCCTGCGGGAACCCATCGCATCGACGATCCCTCGAGAGGGGTGTCGAAATCGATGGTTCCCCCAGGGGGGTAAAGACCACAGCTCCCCCAGATGTGGCTGGCCTGCGGATGCATGGGAACCAAAGGACCTATAACAATTGTAGGGGGATGTTTGGCTACAAAGTGAACAATAACCAAACAGTACTCCAAAATAGTCAAACATATTCAAAACGTCTCCACATTAGTTCGTGACTATGTCTGAATATTCCTCCTGTGCAAGCACAGGCCCGACTCCAACTTAACATCGAAAACACATTCCGAGGTGGACGGCCCACACGTGAAGAACATAAACATACCCCTCCAAATCCACTTACGGTTGGTCTCCACCCTTGCAAGCTGTCACGCGCAAGAGTGGGAAAGGAGTGGTAGTGGTGGTCAAAGCATCAGGGAATAAAGTCCCAAGCCGAGCAACACGCACCACGACCACGACGACGCCGACGACAACGACGACCACGACGGAGACGAGGCGTGCCGAAGCACGGACTTGGGAAAGGGCCCACCCTGCAGGTGCCAAGAATGGTAAGGGACACAAGGGGAGGCGGAAGCAGGACAGGGACAGAGAAGACAAGGCTGCCACTTTGGGGACCATGCTAGCCACTTGGGCCGCAGGAGGCCTCCGAATGCCTCCACGAATGAGCCATGGCTTCAGAGGAGATCGCGTCGGCGGAGTTCGCTGGCGGCGCGCAGCAGAGGGGTGGCGCGAGGGGAAGGCCTTCTCACAAGGCGGAAGGCTCCATCGAAAGGAAGGTCCATCTCAGAATTGCCCGGATGGCTTCCAAGGCGTTCTCTCGGAACCCCCCCGTTGCCTTCTACACGCCCCCCCCGCATTCTCAGAAGGCCGCCCACAGCGCGCCACGCCTCTGCACGCTGCCGAGCCAGGATGAAGAAACCGGGCTCTCTGAAGCGCAGCACGGCCGCGAGACTAGGAACCTATCTGCTCTGGCCCTGCTTAGGCCTGGGTCGGCCACCAACGGGAGGGGTCCGGGGGGAAGCGGGTCCTGAGCCCAGAGACTTCTTTGTATGATCCCAAGACGCCAGAAAACGGCGAGCCATCATGACCAGTTTCCCCTGAGGACCTCGTCAGGTTCTTCATGGCTCATTCCAGAAGCCCCAGATCCAAGAAACCTCGCACATTTTCAGGGATTGGTTTTGCTTCCGCATTTCGCCGGCCGTCCACCGAGGAAGAGATGGCCTCGAACCAAGACGTCCGACGTAGTGACGATTCTACACTGTGAGAGGTCTGGACTCTTTCCCGAGGGTCGGCTTTTCATCCCAAGTCGTTGTTTGACAACCCTAGGGCCCGGTGAGGGCCCCCACAGGGTGCCAATTTTCTTTCTCTCTCTCTCTCTCTCTTTCTCTTTGTCTTTCTCTTTCTCTTTCTCTTTCTTATCTCTCTACTGTTTTGTTCTTTCTCTCTCTCTCTCTCTCTCTCTCTCTCTTTCACAAACGAACGCCAGTCTTATTTGATGCGACGACGCAGGGAAGTCAATTCTGGAGCGCCCATCGCGGCCTACCCGCCCTGCTTGGTCTGGGACTAGCATGATGCCACAATGCGGTCGGCTCTGGATACGTCCATGAATTCTGGACTATGTCGCAGCCCTCGTATCTGGAGCCCGTGTGGAACAATCCCAGACATGCGATGGCCCCCAGAAGTCCCGGCCCTTTCCACGAGACCGGTTTTGACAACGCATATTTGTTCGACGGTCCTGGGGTCTGACGAAGACCCCACGGATGCCGAACACTACCAACAACCTCCCGTCGTGCTGTTTTCGCGACGCGAGCCTGGCTGGGCTGGGAAGCCTCTGAAATGCTGGAGCGCATCGCTGCCATGACTTCCCCCCTGAGAGTCGACGTCTCAACAAAAAAACAACATCGTGAACACATTACGTCTGGAATCCTAGACCCCATCTTTCTGCGCCGTTTTCCAAGCCGGTTCGATCTAGAAGGTCCCTGGGCCTGAATCTGGGTGACACCGACCGGCTCGAAAACATGAAACGCCAGGATCTCAAGGTTATAATGTGCCAGCCTACATTAGCCTTGACCACCAGAAAAAATTTCGAGCACCCCAAAAATACGGGAATTCGAGGGATTGCACGTCTCGGGCCCTGGGAGACACTCGTCCGACACTGTTTCGACACTTTTCCGGGTGCTCACACTTGTTTCCGGGTGCTCACAATTATGAGAGCAGCATAATCTCAAGGTTTGGCCAGAACTTCGAAGGGAATCCAGCCGCGGAGCCCACCGAAGTGCGCAACACGCCCAAAAATGAAGGGGCCCTGGGACACACAAATAAATCGACGCAAATAATAATATTCCCCATCTGTTCCATATGTTCTGGGTGCTTGTCTTCCCCCAGACCTCCCTTTTTTCCAATATTCTCTGGGGAATCGACGATTAATTGTGCCTGTGTGTTTTTTCCCTCCTGAAAAGAAGCTCTCGACGTTCCAACCCTGACATCGGGAGCGGCCAAGAGGGGAGTGTCAGAGAGGGGGGGGGGCGCAAATCATGACCGGCGGCATGTGCGCGGCCCAGCGGGGGGGCCGGGGACGTAACGACATAAGAAGAGGCGCCATGAAATCTGGGGAAATATCATGGCCCCCGCCGTAAGAATATCCACACACCCCTAGTCATCACCCCCCTCTTTTCGGCGGTGGACAAACCTCCCTTTAGTAAACCTCCCCTTAATGAAAACGGTCTGGGACCAACACCGACGGACCTGGACCCGCAAAAACGCCGGCCGCGACGCCCTCTCGCGAACCGAAAACGGCTAATTCCTCAATCGACGCGTCAGGGTAGGAGGTCTATCCACCTCCGATCGTTGCCGCCCCCGGCGACAGGCGGCGGACCTCGCCGCTGCCGCCGGCGAAGTCCGCGGGTCGCGTGCGCGGGGCGCGGCGGGGGCCCCGAGGAGCGCGTGCGCGCCGCCAGCCCCGCGACGACGGCGACCGAGGGGAGGGGGCTGGCCGCACCCAAGGGAGGCACAACTCCTCCGGGGAGCCCTCGAGGAGGAGGAGGAGGAGGAGGAGGAGGAGGAGGAGGAGGAGGAGGAGGAGGAGGAGCAGGGGCCTCTCAGGAACCCTCATGAGAAGGAGGAGGAGGAGGAGGAGGAGGAGGAGGAGGAGGAGGAGGAGGAGAGGAGGAGGAGGAGGAGGAGGAGGAGGAGGAGGAGGAGGAGGAGGAGGAGGGGGCTGGCCGCACCCAAGAGTGCTGGCCGCACCCAAGGGGTCCTTCCCCTTCCACATCCTCCTCGCCCCTGCCCCCCCAGTGTGGACTCAACAGCCGAAACCTGACAGGCAGCGGGCTTCTTGATCCTATGATTGGCAGCCGCGGCTCCTGGAACTCCGGGGGGCCGATCTCGGAGAGGGTCCTCGCTGGGGGGGCCGCTGGAGGTGGCCTCCCGGCCCGAGCGGCGCCCCGTACCTCTCTCGGCGCCACCCCCTCGGCCGCCCTAGCCCAGATCTCCGACGATGGGCCTCCCAGAGCAGCCCGTCTGTACGGGCTCTATACATCTGTCGTTGCGCCGTCTGGTCTCCACGTGCCCAAGAGAACGACGCCGACACCACGGCAAACCCACGGCAACCTCTGCGCCACGCGCCCCAAGGAGACGCAGCTGGCGTCACGGCAAGCATTGCGTCCGAGACGGAATATACCCTGGTGGCCGAGGCGTCCTCTCAAATGCGGATATGTGTACACATACACACATATATATATGTGTGTATACATATACACATGCATATTCTGGAACCATGCGCGCTTCGCGCAGTCCAAGCCAACCTCACAAGGTCGGATGAGCATGGACACCATCCCGCAAGGGTGGCCATATGGGAGCGTACTTCCTGGTGGATGCTTCAGGAGGCGCTGAATAAGGCTCCAAGAAGTCGCGCAAGGCATCCAAGAGGAGGACCCAGGGCAGCCTAAGGAAAGATGCCCGAGAACTCCTAAGAGCCTGGCAAATCCATGCTGGGAGTCTTTCTTTGGGGGACGCTCTTGGGGGGATCTTGGGAGTCTCTGGGGGGTGAGGCATCCCCAATTTTTGTTGGGAGTCTCCTGGTGGCCTTAAGACTGTTTTGGGGCGCTTCGGGGGCCTCCCCGGGGCTTTTAGTATCTGGGCTCGAAATGTCGGGATCCCGGCTATCGCCCGTCTTGGGGCCGTCTTGAGGGCCTCATGGGCCGTCGTAGCGGCCTCCGGGGCCGTCTTGGCGCTCTCGTGCGTCGCAGTCGGGCCGTCGCGGGGACCGCTCGGGGGAGACGAGGGGGAGGGAGGAGGGAAAATGACGCAGCGGTGAGGAGGCAGGCTGAGAGGAAGGACGGGGCTGTTGAACGGGAGACGCAAGGGAACCAAAAACAGGAGGGAGAGAGAGAGAGAGAGAGAGAGAACAAAACAAAAAAACAAAAAAAACAAGGAGAACGGACAGCGAGAGACGGAGACAATGGAAGCACACTCTAGGGCACGCGCGCCAGAGCCTGGGACTAGAGCAAACGGGGGGGGGGAGTGGAGAGGAAGGATGACGTGGAACGGGAGACGCAGGAGAACCATGAGCAAATGAGACATCTGGGAAACCGAACAGCGAGGGGTGACGGAGCCAGAAACGCAGGAGGGAGGCGGAGAGACGAAAGCGTGACGGAGAGACGATGTAGGGGGAGGAAAAAAATGACGCAGAGGGGATGCGAGAAAGGAGGTGGACGTGGAACGGAAGTGCAAGATAACCAAGAACAAGAAAAAAAGATCAAAAAGAACGAACAACGAGGGATGAGGAAAACGGAAACGCACTCGGGGGCACGCCAAAGCCTGAGACAGGATGAAGCACGCGGGGGGGAGGACCTTGAACAACCAAAATTGAGGGGCATCCCGTTCTTTTCAAGCTGGGCCTCCTACCACTGAGTGGGGGGAGTGAAGGAGAGATGGAGATGAGGGAGGGGAAACGCATGCGGGAGGCGGACAGAGAACGGAGTGAAGGAGATACGAGGTGGAGGGAAGGAGGGGAAATGGCGCAGCGGGGAGGAGGGGGGCGGATAGGAAGGATAAGGATGTGGAACGTGAGACGCAAGAAACCCAAGAGGAGAGAGAGCAACGAGAACGGACATCGAGGGATGGGGGACACAGAAACGCACTCGGGGGCACGCAGAAACCTGGGACAGGAGGGAACGGATAGCGGGGGATTAACCTTGAAACATCGGATTACAGGGAATTCCACGAGGCCCCAATGAGTCCCCCAAGAGCTACGGGTAAGCCATCGAGAAATCAAAATCATTGAAAATCTAGGCGTGGAAGAGCAATGGGGAGGAGGGAAGAGGGAAACGGACGCAGAGGGGAGATGAGGGGTGGGAGAGGAAAGATGATGTACAACGGGAGACGCAGCAGAACCAAGAGCAAGGAAGAGATCCGGGGGAACGAACAGCGAGGGGGAACGAACAGCAAGGAAGAGATCCGGGGGAACGAACGCATGAGGCGGAGAGAGGACGGCGTGAAGGAGAGACGAGGAAGAGGGAGGAGGGAAACTGACGCTGCGGGGAGGAGAGACCAGGAGAGAAAGGAGGTGGATGTGGAACGGGAAGCGCAAGCAAACCAAGAACAAGAAAGAGAACTCAAAGAGAACGGACAACGAGGGATGGGGACAACGGGAACGCAGTCGGGGGCACGCCAAAGCCTGGGACCGGAAATAATCTTTCAAAACGGATTTGAGGAATTTCCCTTGGATGAGCCTTGGATGCCTCTGGGCCGTCAGGGGGCCATCTTGGTTGGGTCCGTGCCCTGGCTTTGCTTTTGGCGGGTCTCTTGGGAACCTCAGGGGGGCTCTCTTCGGGCGTTTCTGGGACTGTTGGGCCATGATTGGGGGGACCTTGAGCTCGAAGACGGCCCAAGATCGCGTCAGGACGTCCGTTTATCACCTCTCTTCCCTGGAAGCTTCGGTATTGCCATGAGTGCCTCAGGGCGTCTGGGGAGGGGGCTCTTGGGGGCCGGGGGGCCTCCTGGGGGCGCCTTGGGCCGAAAGCTCGACATATCCGTTCGGGTGCCCCCTCTGGGCCTCCTCTTGGGGCCGTCTTGGAGCCGTCATGGGCTGTCTTGGGGGCCCACAGGGCCCCCTCTGGGCTCTCTTGGGCCGCCCTGGAGCCCTGCAGGGAGCCCCCTGGGCCTTCTTGGGGAGATATTGGAGGCCTCGCGGCGCGGGCCGTCTTGGATGGTCGGACAGCTCCAGGGACGAATCTTCTAAACATATATGTTTCCCACGTGGAATGGGGCCATTGTTGTCTTTTGATGCCCTCCTGGGAATTCTTTTGGGGGCCTCTTTGGGCGTCTTGGGGGCCTCCTGGGCCGTCTTGGGGCCATCTTGGGCGTCTTGGAACGATATATCGACGACCTCGGGCCGCCTGCTGCAATTTGCAAGCCTGCCGCACGTACCTGGGAGGGCCAAGGGCCGCCCAAGCGAGGGGCCAAAGCCGGGGTACTGAAATCACGGCTTTCCGTCTTCTTTGGTGAACAACCTCCTTTTCCTCGTCCTCGTCCTCCTCCTCCTCCTCCTCCTACTCTTCGTCCTCCTCCTCCTCCTCGTCCTCCTCCTCCTCCTCGTCCTCCTCCCCCCTTTTCCTCGTCCTCCTCCTCCCTTCCACCTCCTTCTCCTCCTCCTCCTCCCCCTTCTCCTCCTCCTCCTCCTCCTCCACCTCCTCCTCATCCCCCTCCTCCTCCCCCTCCTCCTCCCCTCCTCCTCCTCCCTCCTCCTCCTCCTTCCTCCTCCTCCTCCTCCTCCTCCTCCTCGTGCTTCCCCTCCTCCTCCTAAATCGAAACGAAAACTGTCCACGACATCGCCCACGTGCGGTCTCGCTCGAATCCGATGGCCAACAAAGCCGCCATATGCGCCCCGGCATGGTGCACACGCCCTCCTCGCCGAGCCCATGTAGGACGCATGGCGACACCAATCCCCGACCCCTGTGCGTTTTCGTATCGAAATCACAATTGAAGAATCACAAAAATGAGGCCAGATTCGGATACCCATCGGTCGGGAGAAGTAGGTAGAAACACGAAGTTAGAAGAGATTCAAAACATAGATTGGGCTTCCACCCGCCCCCTGAAGAGCAGGGACTTAGGGAAACGCCGCTCGACTCTTGAAGTCGCAAGGAGCGTAAAAAGTACACTGGCATCCGGGAGTCCAGAAAGTACGGTGGGGGCGTTCGTGAAGGAATGTGCATGTGCTCGGGGGGGCCTCAGACCCTGGAGGAGGCTTGATCTGCTGAGGTCGTCAGTGACACCCATGGCCAATCCACGAGTGGTGTTCCACCCGCCTCCAAACTCTGGATTCCTTATCCAGTGCCCTCACCGCACCGCCTTGCAACGACCGATGGGTACACACAAATGGGATTTTCAACAGGCGCGCCGCAAAGCGTGCCAGGGGCACAGCTGGGCGACTCGGGCACGGGCCCCAGTGAAAGGAAAAGAGAACGCGCACCTCCCCATCAGGGGAGTGCCAGCAGGCGCAGCGCCAGGAGGCGCAAATCCTCGATGTGGAGTGCGTTCGGACCCCCTGGGGGTGTATCCCCCGAGCAACCCCCCTTGTCTGACTGGCCTGCCCTTTCGTGAAGCACTCGGGGACTGGGCGCGAAAATGCGCCTGCGAGGCGGCCCACACCACCCCTGGGGAAACCAAAAGGTACCGATACCGCTACTCCCTGGACCTCTCCCAGGGTGCGTCCTGACCAAGATTTCGACGCGGCTCCAGCGGTGGCGACGAAGTCCTCCGAGGAGGCCCAGCCAGGGGAAAGCCAGGAAGGGGTAGAGGTATGGGTGCCTTTTCCTCCCCTGAATCCCCGTGCCGAGGATGGCCGCGGCCAGCCACGGTGTCGGTGCACCAGGACGCCGGGAGAACACACGCGGCTGGGCCCACGCACGGAGTGCGCAGAGGCCGCGTGCGCTGGCGGGCGGCGCGGCCTGGCGAGCTCTCGCCCAGGCTGCCGGCGCCCTGCGCATCAAGGACCCCTGGTGCAGGCTGAGGGGGAACGTCAGTCGGGGGCGGCCAAGAGGGGGGCGTCCAAGAGGGGGGGGCGCAAATCATGGCCGGCGGCACGTGCGCGGCCCAAGGGGGGCCAGGGACGTAATGAAATGAGAAGAGGCGCCATGACATCTGGGGAAAGATCATGGCCCATGCCATGGTATCCCCCCCCCAGCCATGATATCCCCCCTCCAGTTTTTCCCAGAAACGTGTTTGTTTGCTATGCTGCAGCTTTTTTGTTGTTGTTATTTCTTTCTTTCTGTTGCAACCTCGGATCTCAGGGTCCCTGCGTCCCCCCTTAGCCTATCCCCCTGCTGCCCCCCTGGGTTTCGCTTCGTAGCTCTGCTCTCCAGCGGTCGCTCGGGACGACCCGAGACACCCCGGAACGCTTAGGTCGGGCATGTCCTCCTACTACAGGCGGATTGTGGACGAAACATGAAAACGACTCAAAGCAATCACCCGAACTGGTCTACAAAAATAGTGAACACATAGTTCCCACACTTGCTTGCTTCAGCATATATATATATATATATATACATGCATAAATGTATATATACACATACACATATGTATATATATATATATATACACCTATCCCTCGATATGTATATGTATATGTATATATATATATATATATCAAACAACAGGAAATCAGTGTACTATTGAATTTTCCTCCTGTAAAGGGACACGCCCGCCTTACCGGAGCGCTCTCGGCGAGGCCCCGCCGCTGGAAGGCACCCCGCGGCTGGAAAAAGCAGACGAGGACAGACGATCAGGTAGGTGTGACCTGCTTCCTCGAGAGCCCGAGACGCTCCACCCTGAGCCTGTCCCCTCCCGCCCCCCTGACCTTGCCCCTTCTGGTGCAGGTGCCGTCTGCGGAGGAGGAGGAGGAGGAGGAAGAGGAGGGGGAGGCGGAGGATGAGGAGGAGGGAGAGGAGGAGGAGGAGCAGGAGGAGGAGGAGGAGGAGCAGGACGAGGAGGAGGAGGAGGAGGAGGAGGACGAGGAGGACCAGGAGGAGGCCCGACGACGACGAGGAGGAGGAAGAGTCTGGCCAGGGGCCCGGCGGGCCTCTTCCACGAGACCGCGCCGCGCGCCCGCTCCCGCGGAAGGCGCCCCCGCGAGGGCTCACGCTCACGCGGGGCCTCGCGCGGAGCCCCGCAGCGGGGAGACCGCGCGGCGAGGCCGGCCTCCAGGCGCCCGCCCAGCTGGTCCAGCCGCTCGAGCACCACGAGCTGGTGCTCGGCCTGGGGCGCGGGGGCCTCCCCCTCCTCCTCCTCCCTCCTCCTCCTCCTCCTCCTCCTCCTCCTCCTCCTCCTGAGGAGGGCCTCCTCCATGTCCTCCCTTCCGCACGAGGAGGACCTCCTCCTCCCCCGTCTCCTCCTCCACCTCCCCCTCCCCCTCCTTCACCTCCTCCTCCTCCTCCTCCTTCTTCTCCCCCTTTTCCTCCTCCTCGTCCTCCTCCTCGCACGGGAGAAACGGCCGGGGCGGGGGGCAGGCAAGAGAAAACACTGGTGAGCTGGTGGGCAGGATTAGGATGGAGGGTTGAAGGGTATAGCAGGGGCAAGGCAAAAGGGGTGCTCAGGAGAGGGAGCGAGGCAGAGTGGAAGTGGAGGCGAAAGGCAGAGCTAGGAGCGGGGGGCCCAGACAGGATCGCGCCGAACAAAAAAAATCGAGGCTGAAGGTCAGAGGCCTTCCAGATAGGGGTCGGAGCAGATGGGGTCGGAGGATCGCGCCGCATCGCAGATACATCGGCGATGCATCGGCGATGTGTCTGCGATGCACCGGCAATGCATCGGCGACGTCGGCAAAGACCTAGGCGACATCGGCGTGGAGAAAATCGGGCTGACGGAGGACCCAACCATATGCTGCTGCGAGTACCGCGAGGGAGACGAGACGAAGGAGGGGGTCAGCAAAAAGGGACTGCGGCGTACAGGAGGAGGAGGAGGAGAAACGCTGACGCGGGCGAGCGGGGAGTATCCTTGGCTTCGCCCGAGCCCAGACAGGATCGCGTCAACAACAACAAAAAATAGCGGGAGGTTTCTGCTAGCTTTCGGCTTAGGGGAAGCCTCGCCGGGCCTCGGGGCCACCAAAATACGACTCAGGATGAAAAACTGGCCGCGGGGAAAAGTTGGAGACTTCCAGGGACCTGGAACCCCAGACCCCCTCGAGCAATGAAAAAAACAGGACGGGAGGTTGTTTACCATTTTCGGCCTCTGGGTGCCCTTGCCTGTCCTCGGGACCTTCGAAAAACGACCTGGCGCTGTATTCCCACAGCGGGCGAGCTTGCTTTCTTCCGGGCCTAGGCTGGGCGCGAACCCAGAGATCTGACGTCGTGATTTTTTCAATGCGGGGTCCCTGGAAGTCTCGACCCATTCCCCAGGACCGGTTTTTCATCCTGAGTCGTTTGTTGACGGCCCCGAGGCCTGGCGAGGGCTCCTAGGGGCCGAAGGTTGCGAAAAACCTCCGTCCTAATCTTTTCAATACGTTGGGTCTCTGGAATGAATGGGGGGCGAAAGATGGGGGGGGGAGAACGGTGCCCTTTTCGGGCCCTGAAGGGCCTCCTTTGGGGGACCCAGAGGGCCCCTTGAGGGGCCCTGAAAGGCGGCCCCTTTTCTGCGGCCCTCGCTGTATTTCCCATTCATCGCCCGCCCCCCCAACTGGGACCATCACAGATCGATCCTGCTGGAAAAATGCCGCAGAGGGATGGGGCCTAAGGCTCTGGTCGCGATCAGACCCTGAGATCCGACGTCCCAACAAAGACTGAGGCATCGTGGGAAGACCACGCCTGGAGCCCTAGACCCCACCTGTCCGCGCGATCCTGCGAGCCCGATCGATCTAGGAGGGCTCCACGGCCTGAATTTAGGTAGAAACGCCCGGCTCGGAAAAAACTGAAACGTCAGGATCTTAGGAGAAGGCGATGTTGGATGTTTTTTTCGCTATGCCGAATCTCACAGGGGTCCCATGGCCTCCTCGCGTCGTTTGGCGTCGCGCACCGGGGAGTAGGGGGAGGGGGGGGGGTCTCCTAGAAGGAGGCTGCGTCTCAGAAGGCGCGGGTCTTACATCTAGAGATAGGCCTGCGCCTTCTCAGAGGCGGCGGTGCTTCTAAGAAGCCTTCCCCCTCGGCTACACGCAAGAGAGACTCTGAGCAAATGTGACTTCTGGTGCGCGGTTTCACGGGGGACTCGAGGGGGCCAGACCCTGGCGCGCAGGCCGCTGCTGCCGCTTCGCGTTCAGCGTTCGGGGGATCCCGGTGGGCCAGCAACAAGCCCTGACCTCCGAGGTCTCGACAAAAAATTGAGACATCGAAAGAAACCACGCCAGGAGCCCTACGCCCAATCTTTCTGCGCCATTTTTCGAGCCGCATCGATCTGTGAGAGTCCCAGGGCCCGCACCAAACCCTGCGATCAGACATCTCAACACAAGATGAGACATCGAGAGAAATCACGCCTGGAGCCCTAGACCCCATCATTCTGCCACATCTTTCGAGCTGCATCGATCTGTGAGGGTCTCACTGGGCCCGCACCAAGCCCTGCGATCCGACGTATCACAAACATTGAGACACCGCTAGAGAGAAATCACGGCTGGAGCCCTAGACCCCATCATTCCGCCATATCTTTCGAGCTACATCGATCTGTGAGGGTCCCATTGGGGGCCCGCACCAAACCCTGCGATCCGACGCCTCCAAAAAATTGAGACATCGCGAGAAATCACGCCCGGAGACCCAGACCCCACCTTTCCGCCACATCTTTCGAGCCAGATCCACCTGGGAGGGCCCGAGGGGCCCGAATATCTGGGCCACACCGCCCGGCTCGAGACAGCTGAGCCGCCAGGATCTCCAGGGAACGGTCACTCTTGCGTCTAGTCTTGGGCTGGGTGTGTCCACCTACAGGCAGGTCTTGGGAGCAAGATAAGCAAATGGCCAGACACCACCCACACATGCTCAAACGCACACGAAACATCGTCACCAGATTACTGATTTTTTTCCACGATTCTTGAATACCCGAATATCCTCCTGTAGAGGGGCATGCCCTACTTACGTCTATAGAGGCCTCCTAGATGGGGTCCGAGTAATGGGGTCGGAGGATCTCGCCGCATTGCCGATACATCGCCAATGGATCGCCGATGCGTCGGCGATGCATCGGCAACGTCGGTGATGCATCAGCGCCGTCGGCGTGGATGAAATCGGGCTCCACCTCGAGCCGCATCGGCGATGCATCGGCGATGCGGCGCGCCCCTCCGACCCCATCTGCTCGGACCCAATGTAGGAGGCCTGGATGACGATCCTCCTGTAGAGGGACGTGCCCGACTTGCGTCTGGTCGACTCCCTCTGCGCACGGCCAAGCCCCATGTGCGGGCAAGATTTATATCCATACGCAGTGCGTCTTGGACTCTTTTGGAAGGGGCGCCGCCAGGCCGAGGTCCCCTGGATATGGATAAACATCGAGCCGCGGGGGGGCAAATTGATCCACATCCGGTGTCCCTCGGGTTTCTGGGGAAGGGAGCTCGAAACTCCATACTGATCGAGCCACTCAGGTCATGGTAATGATAAAATCTGGGATTTAGAAAACGGCCCTGGATTTAGAAAAACCGCTTTTGAATGTAGTAAGCCGGTTTTTGCGTTTACTGAATGGCAGTGCGTCTTGTTTTGATTAGGCGGCCCAATGTAACACATCCGTTTCTCGCTTTAGTGAATCATCACTTTGTTTCATACTTTGTTTGAAGAAAGTGCGTTCGTTCGTTTCCATGGCCGATGTTAGCCAGTGACAAACTGCAGTGAATATGGACAAACGTATTGCCCGCCCAATGGCCTCCTCGCGTCGTGGCGGGAGCCATGGCGGGGAGCCGCCGTCGGTTTGACCGACTCCCTCTGCGCGCGGCCACGCCCCAGACATGCGACGCCCTGATTTTTTTCAGGACGGCGTCCCTGAAGTCCCGACTCTTCCCCCAGGAACGTTTTTTTTCTTTTCCTGAGTCGTTCCTTGACGGCCCCGAGGATCGGCGAGGGCCCCCCGAGGCCAAAAATGCTGAACCTCCCGTCCTGATTTTTTCATTACTCGAGGGGGTCTGGGGTTCTAGGTCCCTGGAAGTCCCCAACTTCTTCCCGGGACAAGATTTTCGTCCCCAGTGGTTTCTTGACAGCCCCGCGGCCCGGAAAGGTCCCACGAGGCCGAACATTAGCATAAACCTCCCGTCCTGATCTTCTTTTACTGCGCGATCAGGTCTGGGGTTAGGTCGGGCATGTCCCCCTGCAGGCGGATGTTCGGCGAAGAATAGAGAATTGTCAAAAAGTATTCAGAAATGACCAAACCATATATATATATATATAATCATGCCCAGACGAATTTGGTACTATTTTCGAATATTCGGGTACGGACAAAAACCCGGTAGTAAACGTGGTTAGTGAAAATGGCATCGGGCCCAAACCTGGCATGCGCAAGCCTGCAACATGACGGCCGCGACGCCCTCTCGAGAACCGAAAACGGACAATTCACTAATCGACGTGTCAGGGTGGGGGTTCTGTTCGCCCCCGAAATATTCCTCCTGTAGAGGGACAGGGCGAGGAGGAGGAGGAGGACCAGTGTAAACCCAACAGTCGTCAACGATGTTGGAATTAACCCTCCCTCCAAGCTCCCTCTTCACAGGCCCCTACAACGGTTGATTTCCATTGAAGGAACTGCCTCGTTGGAAGACAACCGTTTGAAGATCCTGAAACATGTCAAAACATTGTTCTCGGGTATTCAACGCCACGTATCAACCTGACTGCTGCGTTTTGGCGATCCGGAAACGTGCCACAACGCCATTTGTTTGATCTCGACACCGCGAAGCAACATGGCTGTTGCACCCGTATAATCCTGAACCCTTCCAAAGCGCAATTGTTTGGTATGTTGACCCTGGGAATCCGTGGAACTCTTGCCAATGTTGAAACGAAGGAGCACGGCGCTAAGGCGAGAACCACATTTTGAAAAAGAACCACAATCAATGCGTGAAAGTTTTGCAAAGTTTGAAAGAGAATGTGCGCGGCACTGAGGCGAAAATCACATTTTGAAAACGGCCCGCCCTCAATCCGTGAAGCTCTTGCAAAATTTGAAGACGAACGTGCGCGGCGCTAAGGCGAGAGCCACATTTTGAAAACCACCCGCCCTCCATCTGTGAAGCTGTTGTCACTTTCCAAGCTTCAGAATCACAAATGGTGAGGAAGTCTCAGGCGAGACGCCCGGCCCGCCCTAAAAACTTGCCTCGGGGTGAGACAGGGAGGAGTTATCTATAAGGAGCAGGAATGGAGGAGGAGGAGGAGTAGGAGGAGGACGAGGAGGAGGAGGAGGGGTAGGAGGAGGAGGAGGAGGGGGAGGGGGAGGAGGAGGAGGAGGAGGAGGAGGAGGAGGAGGAGGAGATGATAACATTGTTGTGCGACGCGATGAGGTCTGGGGCCCGTGGCCTCCTCGCGCCGTGGCGCGAGCCACGGCGGGGGCCGCCCTCGGACCACCCGCCCCGGGGCCTCCGGGGCCCCCCCGTCCTCGCCCCCTCGGCCCCACGGGTTATGGTTGAAGTCGGGCCCGTGCCTCTACAGGAGAGACATTCCAGGCTCATCGTCCGCGCACTCCTTGCTCTGCTGCTACCATCTCTGTCTACGACCAAGGAAGAGAAGAACAATGGATAAAGAGACGGCAGAGGAGGAAGAGGAGGTGGACGACGACGACGACGGTCGCAACGCCGATTCGTCCAAACGTAGTGAAACAAACATCTGGAGATGATTGTTGGAATATCTTTGATCATGTTTGACTATTTTCCGCCAAAATCCGCCTGTATGGGGGACATGCCCGACCTAAGGTTAGGTCGGGCATGTCCTCTTGCAGGCGGATATTGGACGAAAAAACAAAAATACTCCCAAACTTATCAAGAATAGTAAAAAATCGTCTGCGTACGATTTATATATATATATATATATATATGTATAGAATTTGTTTTACTTTTCCTCCTGTAGAGAGACAGGCCCGATTTAACCCCTGGGGGGGCCCGTCCACAACGGGCTCGGGGGGAAAACCCGGCCCCGAAGAAAGGAGAGGATATCCAAGGATAAGAAAAATAAGATGGTGGCGATTTTTCGGGGGACCCGAACGGAAATTTCGAGCCCTCGGCCCCAAGAAGCCTCCAGGCCACAAGAGGCCCCCTAGAAGCCCCCAACAGGCTCCAAGAGGCCCACCAGAAGCCCAAAAGAGGCCCCAGAGGCCCCAAAACGGCCCCCCAAAGGCCTCAAAAGTGCTGCCAGGAGGCCCCCGAGAGACCCACCAGGAGCCCCCAAATGGGTCGGCGGTGCGGCGTAAGCCGAAGAATAATATGGTGGCGATGTTTCATGCTCTTTTGCATATGTTTGATGATGTTTTGGCTACTGTCTTTCTCCCAACATCCGCCTTGACCGTTCGCCAGAGAGACCTTCCCTGAGATCCTGGCGTCTCAATTTCTCCTAGCCCGGCGTTGTCACCTCTTTCTGGGACCCCGGACCCTCCCAGCTCGATGCGGCTAGAAAAGTGGCAAGGAAAGATTGGGTCTGGGGCTCCAGGGCATGATGTCTTAAGGTGTTGCAGCTGTGCTGTGACGTCGGATCTCAGGCAGGGTCCTTGGGTGCGGACCCGACAAATGTGCAGTATCTCCCTCCCAAGAGGAATCGCTCTCAACATCGGCCTCGAGCCCAGGGGGAGAGGAGAAGGGGCGGGCCTTCTCAGAAGGCTCGGAATCGGAGTCCAAATCGGAATCCGAAACCGAATCGAATCGGAAGTCATCGAAACCGAATCGAATCGAACCGGAGGAATCGAAGCGAGCCCTGGGGTTGTCCATCCTTCCTGTGCTGGTTGACTGTACTCGACGTTCGACCCCTGGGATCGGGGACGCGCAAACATGGATTAGCGATCCCGGGATTTGGCGGGCGGTCGCCAAATCCATGGATCGGGGGAGGTGCCCTCCCCGAAATGCGGCCGGTGCCGCCTCGCTCGGCGGCGGAAGTCCGCGATTTCCCATGGAAGCGGGAGCCGTCGCTCATCCACGCCCCCTTGATCCATGTTTGCGATCGCCTGACCCTCGTCCCTCCGGCCTCCCCCCTCCATTCCTCCTCCTCCGCATCGTCCTAGTCCCTCCCCACCCAGTGTCAACTATACCGAAGCGCCCTCCTCCTCCCCCTCCTCTTCCTCCTCCTGCTCCTCGTCCACCTCCGTCCACCTTGCCCCTCATCTCAGGACCCCCCTAACAGATCCTCATGACCACTGGAACCAAACTAACCCTCACTCTCCGCCTCCTCCTCCCCTTCCCTATCACGCTCCCTCGTGCTGCTGCTCCTCCTCCTCCTCCTCCCTCCTTCTCGTTGTCGTTTTCCCCCTCGTCCTCCTTCTCCTCTTCGTACTCCTCCTTCCCTTCGCCCCCTCCTTCTCATTCTCCCACTCCTAGCTCTGCGAATCTCCCGAATCACGGTTCGCTGGAAGGCCCTACGGATACAGCAAAAAAAGAAGCGCAGAAGAGTTACCCGGGGGGGCGGGGAGACTCGGCAAGATCGCCCTGTCTGGCAACGCTTCTGCCCGAGACTCCCTCGCAGCGTACTCGGGAGCCGCACTCTTGCCTCCGTGCTGGCTGCACGTTCGGCCCAGGCGGCCGCAAGCCCTTCCTGACAGTGGCGCTGAGGTGCACACATGGCCGTGCTCCCTCCCCTGGTCCCCCGGGTGCACCTCTCCTGGGAGTGCCCCTGGGAATACGTAGGAAGGCACGTGTTCTCTAGCCGCTGTCCTACTCCTCGGCCTGCCTCCTCACCACTGCTGGTAGGTGCCTGCTTGCTGGCGTAATTTGGGCTGCGCTCTGCGTCCGCTTCCGCCAGTGTGGCCGTGGATTCCTCTAGTGCGTCGTCTGCTGGGCGAACCCCCTAACATATCCTCATGACCACTTGAGTCAAACAAGCACTCATTCTCCGTCTCCTCCTCCCTTCCACTCCCGCCTCTCCCCTCTTCCTCCTGCTCCTCCTCCTCCCTCCTTCTCGTTGTCGCCGTCGTCGTTTTCCTCCTCCTCCTCCTCCTCATCCCACTCATCTTCCTCCCTGCCCAATGCATCCTTATTACTTACGTCATATGGTTAACACTATTACTATTGTTTTCCTTCATCTTCCTCCTCCCATCATCGCCTCCACCTCAGCTTTTATCTTCCTTCCTCCTCCTTCTCGACTGAAGGGATCCCCCTCTCCCCTCTCCCCTGCAGCCCCCGCCCGAAACAAGAGAGCCGCCTGGGTGCTGGCCACCACGCGCAGGAGCCGCAAGATCTCCTCCGTGGGCCCGCAGCTCCTGGGATAGAGGCCTTCAAGACGGGGTCCGATCAGATGGGCTCAGACCGCCGCATCACCCATGCATCGCCGATGCGTCGCTGATGCAGCGCCAGAGGCGCCGCTGGCGGGGCCCAGCGCGAATCCAAGAAATCCGCGCGGAGCGCCAACAGTTTATGTTCATGCCGTTTTCTCTTCTTCGACGAAAGCTGCCGACAGGCCGCCGAGGGCCGCCAGAGGTCTAGAGTTAGGTCGGGCATGTCCTCCTACAGGTAGATTGGGGACGGAAAATAAGAAATGGTCAAAAACTCCTCCAGAATAGTCAAGAACAGTAGCCGAAGAATCATCCCCAGACTGTTCTTTGACTATTTCTGAAGATTCCTCCTGTGAAGGGACAGGCCCGACTTTTGAGCAGGGACCGCCCGTCCCGGCATTCTTGTAGGCCTACCACGCAATTTTCTTAGATCTCGAATATGTTCGAAAAACAAAAACAATGTTCTTAGAACAGAAGCCCGATGTGTTAAACACAAGACGGCCCCAGCCAGAACATTTCGTGGGAGCCACGAAAGGTGCTTAGAACATTCTTTGGTAGGTCTGTAGGCACGCCAGGACGTTTCGTCACTGCTTGAAAGGCTGGCTATCGGCAACGAGACCGGGACAGAGCCCCAGCGAGCGCCCGGCTTGGGCGACAGGTGGTCGAGTCTGGCGGCCTGCCCTGCCTTGTCCTCGTCCTCGTCCTCGTCCTTCTCCTCCTCCTTCTCCTCCTCATCCTCTCGCCTCCTCCTCCTCCTCTCGCGCCTCGTCCTCCTCGTGGCCGCCGGGACGCTTCGTCACTGCTTGAGTCTCTGGGGCCCCTCTGCCAGGGAGAGGAGGGGGCCGTGCTCGGCTGAGCATGGCGACAGTACGGGGGGGGGAGGAGGGGGAGGAGGAGGAGGAGGAAGAGGAGGAGGAGGAGGAGGAGGAGGAGGAGGAGGAGGAGGAGGGAGGAGGGAGGAGGAGGAGGAGGAAGAAGAGGAGGGAGGGAGAGGAGGAGGAGGAGGAGGAGGAGGAGGAGGAGGAGGAGGAGGGAGGAGGAGGAGGAGGAGGAGGAGGGGGAAAGGGGATCGGCGGCCCCTCCGCGGAGCCCGTCGGCGGCCGGCGGCGGCCTGCGGCGGCCGTCGCCGGCCCAGGCAGTGGCGCGGCGGCGGCGGCAGCGGACGGGGGACGGCGACTGCTTCGGCGGTGGATCGGCCTCCCTTTTTGTACAGTCGGCCTTGATTGGGCAGGACACGCGAGAGGGCACGAGACCCTTCCGAGGGCCACATCGCCATACGAGTGTAAGAGTGGCACGTGTCGCGAGGCACAGTGCACGAGGGTACGTACCCTTGAGCTGGCAAGGTCGACCTACAAATCCGGGCCGCCTGTAAACCTCTCTTAGTGGAAACGGCCTAGGACCGAAACCGACGGACCTGGACCCGTACAAGTGACGGCCGCGGCGCCCCCTCGCGAGCCGGAAACGGCCAACTCCTTGGTCGACGTGTCAGGGTAGGAGGTCTATCAACCTCCGACTGTTGACGCGCTTCGCTGCCTTGGGCCTCTGTGGAGAGCAGAAAAGCCATCCCAATAATAAACACCCCGACAAGTGAAGCCGCTTAGTAAACGCACCCTAGGGAGGAATCGAACAGGGCAGGGCTGTTGAATGAACGCTCAAAACGTTTTACTAAACGTCAATTCCCGGGTCCAGGTGGCTTTTCCTCCCTTGACTCTGAGGGTGCACCTGGCCGGAGCGCGCTCCAGTCGGCGGTCAGCGAGGGTGGGAAGTGAGAAGGAGAAGGCCTTCTCGGAAGGCGGCGGGACTTCTCAGAAACCCTCGCGCCTTCTGAAAGGTTTTCCCGTCTTCGGGGAAGGCTTAGAGAACTTCTCAGAACGCCGGGGGACTTCTGAGACTTCTGAAAAGGCCCACCCCTTCTCACTTTCCCTCCTCTCTCGCTGCCGACTCCAGGAGTACACTCGTCGCGACGGATGGGTCCGCCTAGGAATCCTTGCGAGGACACGCTCCAGGACACTTCGTCAGCGGTCGAGTAGGGGATCGACTACAGAATTGCTTTGCCCCAGACTTGATTGTTCTTGTCGAGTCCACGGGCAATTCGTAGAGCTTCCGCAGATCTGCGAATGGTTGACGTATTTTCGTTGACGAGTCGACGTGAAAATAAATTCTGGGGCAAATCAATTCTATAGTCGATCCCCCAGTCGGAGAGGGCCGACTTGCGCGACGACAGCGACCGACCGACCGACGGACGACGGATCACGACGACGACAGCGCCTCCGCCCAACATCGCCCCCCCCCCCATGCCTCTCCTGGAGCGGCGGCGAGCGAGGGGGGGAAGCACGAAGGAGAAGGCCTTCTCAGCCGGGAGCCTTGAGATGGGGGTCAGTGCGAACGGGGTCAGCCAGAGCGCTGGACCTTCCAGGATCCTGCAAGGCCAGGGTCGCACTGACCCGGGCTTGGGTGCAGGATTTGGAGGGTGAAAGAGGGGGTCTGCAACAGGGGGGCTTCAATGGGGGTTGCATGGCCCATATATGCTCAATGTATCGCTAATGTATGTGATCGGGTACGATTGGCATCCAATGTTGGCGGTCATTGAGGGCCAGTCGTTCGTGCCCGCGCGTTGCCCGCGCGGGCACACGCGCCGTCCATCCATTATCGTTCATGCGTGCGGGCGTTCTTGCATATTGCGCGTGGGGCGGCCAAGTGGAGTGCAAGTGTCTTGATTGTGCGATTGATGATCGCGTATGTTCCCAAACGATGACTTCTCGACCCCCAAGACAGATTTGGAATGGGTCCCGCGTTTCTCCCCAAACGTGAATTCACATGTTCCTTCTTCCCACAATGTGAATTCACACTTTCCTTCTTCCCAAAATGTGAATTCACATTCTGGCCCCTTCAGAAAGAATCCTACACAAAATTCCAAAATGTAAGTTCACATGTTCCTTTTTTGAAAAATGTTAATTCACATTTTCCTTTTTCCCAAAATGTGAATTCACATTTTGCTTTTCCCCACGATGTGAATTCAAGATTTTGCCATGGCCTTCAAGATCCCCCAAACTGAGGCGCAGTGTTCCGCATGTCATATTGTCTGGGCAGATTTCGACACTCACCTGACCGTTTTCGTTTGTTCCAGCCTTTTCTTGTTGCGCCCTCAGCGCACATTGCCTTCGTCGCCTTTCCCGAGCCCCCCGCCATCTTGCTTCCTTTCCCCTCAAATCTCGCGCATGGGTGCAGGCGCGGGGCTTCAAGTGGTTTCCCCGCCGAAAACAGCAATCGAGGATGTATCGCCCATTCATGGCCCATAAAGACATCATTGCCAGGACCCTGCGCCCGACCCCCACTTTCACCCTCCGAAAGATTCTGCAAGATCTTGCAAGATCCTTCGCATTGACCCCGGCTTGGGTGCAGGATCTTGCAGGATTCTGCAAGGCCTGATTGACCCGGGTCTGGAGTGACCCGGGTCAGAATATTCCCGACTCAGAAGATTCGGAAGTCCCCCGGGCCCTTTGATGATTTTTCGAAACCTGCCCCGAAGGCGGAACAAGAACCTTTCAGAAGGCGCGAGGGTTTCTGAGAAGTCCCGCCGCCTTTTGAGAAGGCCTTCTTCTTCATCGCTACACAATATGAATACTATTCTCCTCTCTCCCCTGATGACTTTCAGAAGATGTTCGACACCCCTCCGCATACTTCCTGTTTGTACACACAAGCTTTAGGTTTGTTCTCATACTGCTGCTCCCGCTGAAACGCTGGCCTCGTCAGGCTTCCGCTCGTTCCGAATCGTGCTCCCACTGCAGTGCTGGCCTCATTTCCGCGATCCCGCTCGTTCCGAATCGTGCTCCCGCTGCAACGGAGGCCTCATTTCTGCGCTTCCGATCGTTTCGAAGTATGCTCCCGTTGCAGCGCTGGCGTCACTATTTCCAGTGCCGTGCCACGGCATACAATGCAATGCTATGTGGTGTTCCGCTGTGCGATGCAATGCCTTCAGCTGCAATGCTAGGATATGCAATGCTTGACTACGCAGTGCCACGCCATGCTATGCCATGCTACACTTTGATCGTCAACGCCATGTTATGCCATGTTCTGATCTATACCATTATTTGCGTTGCAATGCTTTATGGTGCAATGCTTCACTACGCAACGCCACGCCATGCTATGACATACTACGCTCTGCCAGGCCCTTATATAAGTCCTGCTACGCCGTGCTCTACGATGCATCGCGCAGCCTCGAGTGATCATTGCCCAGCTCGACATCCGACTGGTGAGTAGAGAGCAGATCTACGCCATGGGAAGGGATGGGAGGGAGGGGTAGAACGTCAGATATGATGCGAACGCGCCTAGCTTGTCACTTCCCCCCCTCGATCGCCGCCGACTGGAGCGCGCTCCGGCCAGGATCTCCAGACAGATCTGGCCAAGGCAACCTGGCGGCCCCCCCCCGAAGGCCCACAGAAGGCTCGGGAGGCCCCCAGGCTCGGCAGGTTCGTGTGGCGTCGGCGCGCGCAAAGCCTTTTGACGCGGCTTCGATCGTTCAACCTTGAACCGATCGCGGCCCCGATCGCTGAAGGTTCGATTACAGTCAAGACGGATAGTAAGGATGGGCACACTTCTCAAGGGCACCCTTGCATCCTTGCCTCCTCGGTCCATCCTTGGCCACTTTTGCTGGCCGCGACCCTCCAAAGTGGCCTTCCAAGGCCCTTGCATCCTTATCGTGCGTCCAACGGGTTGAAGTAGGAGTAGGAGTGACCCAATGTGTGTTGGAAGTCCGCCGCCAAAAGGTTCAAATTTCGGCGTCGAAGGCCCTTGCGACCTTACTGCCCGTCTTTGCTGCTATAGATTTCGACTGTGGCCCAGGGGCGGGCATTACCAGTATCGGGAGCGGCCAAGAAGGAAAAGTCCAAGAGGGGGGGGTGCAAATCATGACCGGCGGCATGTGCGCGGCCCAGCGGGGGGACCAGGGACGTAATGAAATAAGAAGAGGCGCCATGAAATCTGAGGAAATTCGCCGGCCCAACTGGCCAGAGGCGGGCTAAGATCTCCGGTAACTGGTAAACAGTATTTCTAGTTCGCGCGCGCGGGGCGGCCCCTGGGGGTCCCTGGATCAAAAGTACCCTGGGCGGAGCCCGGGCGGAGCCCGGGACACTCCCCCAGATCCTCCAGGATCGCCCCAAGAGGGCCCCAAGAGGCCCCCAACACAATCCAAGAGAGGTCCGAGACGCCCGAAGATCGCTCCAAGGCGCCAAAGATGGCCTCCAGACGGCCCAAGACGTCTCCAAGATGACCCAACAAGCCTCCAAGATGCCCTACGAGACCTCCAGGAGCACTCCCAAGAGGGACCCAAGAGACAAAAATCAATGTTTTTTTTTATCAAGTTTTGGACAGATTTGGGCGTTTCAACCTTTTCGGTTCCCCGACGCCCCTAAACGGCTCAAAAGACCTCCAAGATCGCCCCAAAAGGGCCCAAGAGGCCCTCAAAAGGGCCCCAAGACGGCCCAAGACGGCTCCAAGACGGCCCCAGAGGCCTCCAAGACGGCCCAAGAGGGCCCCAAGAACGCCCCCAACACGGTCCAAGAGAGGTCCGAGACGCCCGAAGATCGCTCCACGACGCCCAAGATGGCCTCCGGACGGCACAAGACGTCTCCAAGATGGCCCAAGAAGCCTCCAAGATGCCCCAAGAGGCCTCCAAGAGAACTCCCAAGAGGGCCCCAAGAGGCAAAAACCTGTGCGTTTCCTTTGGTGTTGGACAGATTTGGGCGTTTTAACCTTTTCGGTTCCCCGACGCCCCTAAACGGCTCAAGAGGCCTCCAAGATCGCCCCAAGAGGGCCCAAGAGGCCCCCAAGAGGGCCCCAAGACGGCCCAAGACGGCTCCAAGACGGCCCCAGAGGCCTCCAGGACGGCCCAAGAGGGCCCCAAGAACGCCCCCACCACTACACAGCTCCCGACGCCGCAGCTCCACACTGCAAACGACCACTCGGACAGGCGACCACGGTGCGACATTATGGGCCGGCGGAATGAACGAAGCGATTAAATAATATCATGGCCCCCGCCAAGATATCCACCCCCCCCTAGTCATCACCCCCCTCTTTGCCGCCCCCGACAGTATTCGCCCGAGAGCTTCGTAGGAGTTGAAGTAGGACTACGGGTCGACTGTACACATAGGAGCGACCCAAGGCTAGAGTCAGCGGCTAGAGAGGTTCTGGCGCGGGGCTATAGAGGCGCCCGTGGGGGCCCAACGCGACCGCGCAAGCGTGCACTGCCACACCGCACCAACGATCGGCGGGGCGCCACTGGAAAAAATTGAAGGGGCCCTGGGACACACAATAAATACACAAATAACAGAATTCCCCATATGTTATCACTTTTTGGGGGTTTTCGTCTTCCCCCCCACTTCCCAGAGTTTTGCATATATTCCAGAGAATCGACGATTAATTGTGTCTGTGTGTTTTATTCCCTTTTGAAAATTTGGCGCCAACAGGCAACCGCGAAATTCCTCCAATTGGATTCGAACGCCCCGAATGGCAGTTCGAAGGCGCCGCGAAAGCAAACGCTGCCGGGGGGCACCACGATAAAGTCTGGCACTGCCAGGCCGCATCGCGATGACGCCTGACCTGGTCCAGAGTCATGGCCCAAACCGGCCCCATCCGCGGACCTGGAATATGTCTGAATACACTTGAACGACTTGCAGTCGTCAAGGTCCACATTGGTTCACATGAAATATACAAACACATTGACACACATCCAAACATATTCCAAATTCCCAGAGAGATATTCAAACATACTCAAACCGGACGACTTGGGATATGGGCTGGGATTCGGGACTGGTCCTGGGGCGGAAACTCGGGGATCCTCTGACCCGGGTCATTCCAGACCCAGGTCAGTTTGGCCGTGCAAACTCTGGCAAGATCCTGCAAGATCCTGCGCCCAAGCCCAGGTCAACGCGAAGGATCCTGCACGATCCTGCAGGATCCTGCACCCAAGCCCAGGTCAATGCGAACCTGGCCCTGCAGGATCCTGCAAGATCGGGCGCTCTGGCTGACCCCCGTTTGCATTGAACCCCGTCTCAAGGCTCTCGAGAAGCCGCGCCGTCTGATCGACCTGCCCCCCTCGAAAAACTAATTGCACTCTATAGGGTGCGCCGCAGATGCGTTGCTGTCGATTGACCAGGGGGCCCGCTCCTGGCGCGCTCAAATGTCAGGAAGCAACTGCTGGGAGGTTTTCGTCGGAAGGACTGAGGATGATTAAGCCCCATTGGGGGGCTGTTACGCCGGCCTGGGCTTCGGATTAAGCAGGATTCTGCCAGATTGCAAGGCAATGTTTAATACATGGGGTGTTTAAACACATATTATTCTAAATACATGATAATTTATGAATCAATGTATGCATGAAGCGGAGCATGTATTAAAAACGGCACTGTAAGCGGGATCAACCGGAATTGAGCCGGATTAAGCGGGACTCAGCCGGATTAGTCCAGATTTCGGACCAGGGGAAAATCAAAATTCGATCTCCCAAGAGTTACATCCGAAACTTGGGGCCAGCACCACAAGTTACTCTGGGGAAGGGTCAGCCTTACGTGTAGCCGAAAGGTTGAATACCGTCGGCCCCAATTGAATTGATAACCGTGTACCTCGGTGCTTCCGCGTCGGAAAATTCGACCTTCCCTGAGATCCGACGTAGCGGAAAACTTGCAACATCGTACGAAATCACGCCCGGAGCCCTAGACCCCATCTTCCCGCTTCATTTTTCAAGCACGATCGATCTAGGACGGTGCCAGGGTCTGAATCTGGGCGAAAACGCCCGACTCGAAACATTCGAGACTCCAGGATTTCAGGGTTGAACGCCTTCGCTGGCGTCGCCGGCTCGCCAACGCCGCACGAACCTATCGTGCATGGAGAAAGACGTCATCAGCACAAGCGTTTTCGGAGGTGCGCGCGCATGTCTTTCGGTGGTGGACAAGCCTCCCTTTAGTAAACCTCCCCTTAGTGTAGTGGAAACGGCCCGGGACCGAAACCGACGGACCTGGACCCGCAAGAATGACGGCCGCGACGCCCTCTCGCGAACCGAAAACGGCCCATTCGCTAATCGACGGGTCAGGGTAGGAGGTCTGCCCAACCCCGAGTCTTGGAGCTGGGCGCACGGGCCCCTCCCTGGTGCGCGGATCGCGCCGGGGGCCGCGCCGGAGGCGGGTGCAGGGAGGCCCCAGCGGCCACCCGGCAAACCCGCGCGGAGCTCCGGAAGTCCATGTCACGGCTCGAGCTAAGCGGGAATCTCCTCACCCGGGTCCATCAGACCCAATTCAGCAGGAAACCACAAAGCTGCACTGCGGGAAGAAGAAACTGCAACGCAAGGCTTCGCAAACCTGGGTCAACCAATATGCGCGGCCGCCTCGCGGCCACGAGCGGCTCGCAAACCCGGGTCAGCCAGAGGGGTTCTTCGCAGGATCCTGCAGGGTCCGGTGCCCTGGCTGACCCCCGTTTGCATGGACCCCCGTCTCTTAAGCCCCCGAACTAAAAGGTGATTTTCGATTCCGTTGCGTGTCCGCCTTCCTTCGTGCAGACTTCGCTCTGCCTCGGCCGCGGAACGACAGCAGAACGAACACGGCGCACGACATCGCCCGGGCACCGTCGAGCTCGAGCCGCGGGCCCCCTCGTTCTCTGCTCTGCTCCTCGACCGAGGGCCTCCGAAGCCCGCCGACGGCGACGACGACGACAGGGACGAAGGGCGGCCGACGGGAGAGCCGCGGGGCCCCTCGTTCTGTGCTCTGCTCCTCGGCCGAGGGCCTCCGCGCCCGCGGACGGCGGCGGCGACGGCGACGACGGTGACGACGGGCGGCCGACGGGAGAGCCGCGGCGGCTCCTGTCGACGAGGTCGGGCCTGCGAGCGCGCTCGCCGCGGCCCTCGTAGCTGCCCAGCCCCTGCACACCGTGGGCGCCCGCCGGGGTCCGCAGGGCCCCCCCTCCTGCGGCTGCTTCCCGCGCAGGCGCCGGGCTCGCTCCTCCTCGCCGTGGGCCCCTCCCTCGTCGCTCCCCGAGCCCAGCCTTCGCCCTCCCTCCCCCTCCTGTCCCCTCGCGCTCCCCTTCCTCCCCCCAGCCCCTCCTGCCCCCTCCCTGCCTCCTCCTCTCCTGCCTCGTCCACACCCGAGCCCTGGATCCTCCTCCTCCTCCTCCTCCTCCTTGCCCTCCTCTTCTTCCTTCTCCTCCCTCCTTCCCCGCCTCTGACCTTCCAAGAGCAGGATGACGGGAATGGAGGATGGAGGCGGGAAGCGAAAATGAGGGATGTGTTGGCGGAAGAGGAACGTAAGGGGTGCTCCTTAGAGGAACACTGGCTGTGCAAACAGAAACTTTGGAGATTCGCGCGGACTTCTTGGATCGGCGCTGGACCGCCCCGCGCGCCAGGGGCAGGGCCAGAGGCGCCGCCATGGGGGGCCCAGCGCCGATCCAAGAGGTCCACGCGGATCGCCGGAAGTTCTGTTTTTGTAGTTTTTGATTTTCGAGAGGAGGGGGGCTGGACGACCTCCTATCCTTAGGTCGGGCATGTCCTCCTACAGGCGGATGTTGTACGAAGCATTAAACATACCCCAAACATATGACAAACAAAACAATGAAAACATAATCGAAACATTGTCCCCATATTCATTTGTAAAACTATGTGTGAATATTCCTCCTGTAGGGGGACACGCCTGACTTCCACAAGAAACCTAAGACACCTTCCACAAGAAACCCAGCCCTGAGACCCCAGGACATCCATTGATTTCTGGCGTGGGAACGTCACACTCTCCATGGCAAAACCATCGAAACCCAAGAAACCCAGGGCACCCTGGAGGCAAGCAGGGTGTTTCTGGGCATGGGTCTCCACTGTATCCCTCCCCGCCATCTAGAAGAAGGAACACCCACATACACATACACTTCTGGCGCTCCGCGCGGATTTCTGGGAGTCGCGCTGGACCCCTCTCCCCATCGCGCGGAGCGCGCCAGGGGCGGCGCCGGAGGCGCCGCCGGGGGGCCCAGACGCGGATCCAAGAAATCCGCGCGCAGCGCCAAAAATTTATGCTTATTTGGACGCCCGAAAGGAGTACGGACACAATGGGCACAATGCCCAACAGCAAATGTTGTCCCGAACCAGCAGCGGCCGCTGTTGGGCAGGCGGCCTCCTGTCTCGGATGGACACAGGCCGCGGCGGCGCGGACAGCGAGTCCTGTTCAAAATGAACTGGAACTGCTGTTGGGCACCGTACCCATTCTTTCCGTGCCCATCTCGTTCGTGCAGAGCTCATGCCATTGTTCGTTCCTCTGTGCGGAGGGATGCCCAGATCGTTCCCGCGGATCCAAGAAATCCGCGCGGAGCGCCAAAAGATTATGCTTATGTCATTGTTCGTTCTTCTATAGCTACCTACCAGACCACCCCAACCCAACCCGAAGACCCGAACTTGACCCGCACTTCGGGTTGGGGGGGGGTACGGGCCCCATGTGATTTTTCAACGTTCCCCGACCCTCCCCCCACTGGAAATAGAGGGCAAAGTGAGGCCTTCGGGTTGGGCTGGGGTGGCTTGGTAGGTGGTGACTCTATGCGGAGGGATGCCCAGATCGTTCCCCGCCATCTCCCCCGCGGCGCGACTCGCCCATCCGGCGGGCCTGCGGGCTGGTGGTGGCGTACAGCGGCCAGGCGCCGCCCTGCATCGAGGAGGCGCCCGTCGGGCGGCGAGCGGGCGGGGCCCGGTGCCGAGGCGGCTCGTCGCTGGCCGCATGGCTGCGAAGGAACGGGGCAAGGGGGAGCCCAGTAAGCTCGAGGGGGCGAGGGAGGAGGGCAGGGAGGAGGGGAGGAGAGGAGGAGAGAGGAAGGAGAAGGGAGGAGGGGAGAGGAGGAGAGGAGGAGAGGAGGTGGGAGGGCGGCAGGACATCAGTGGAGGGAGATAGAAGAAGAAACAATGACAACACATAAACTGTTTGCGCTCCGCACGGGTTTCTTGGATCTGTGATGGACACTCCTCCCTGGCGCGCGAAGCGCGCCAGGGGCGGCGCTGATGCAGCGCCGCCAGGGGGGCCAGCGCGGATCCAAGAAATCCGCGCGAAGCGCCAATCATATATGTTTATGATGTCGTTGTAGGGTTTTCCAAGAGGAGGCAGGGGGAGGCCTCCGGCGTTCTTCACCACTCATGGTGGCCTCGCCCTTGCCGCCGGATCTGCCTCGGGGTCCTGACCGGCGCCCGGTCCTGGGCAGGTCCTCAGCTGGGAGGACTCCTCCCCCTCCTCGTCCTCGTCCTCCTCCTCCTCCTCCTCCCTCCTACGCATTCTTCTCATCCCGATCCCCCCCCTGCCACACCCTTCTCCCTCTCCTCTCTCGTCGTCGTCGCCGTCGCCGTCGTCGTTGTCGTCGCCCTCCTACTCCTCCTCCTCCTCTTCCTCCTTCCCCTGCTCCCTCTCTACAAATCGCTCCCCCCTCCTCTTGACGCCTGGAAGGGGAGGAAGGCGGACGAGGCGGGGACGACAGCGGAGTAAGCCGAGGGGAGGCATGCTGGGATGAGAACGGGGCGGGGCTGAGGATGACCTGGACACTCGACGTCCTGAACTTTCCAATGCAAATCGGGCTGGGCGAAAGGGGGAGCTAGCAAGAGGGGGGGTTGAGAATCAGCTCACGTAGCCGATTTTCCTGGCACCTCCCGGCGCCGGGAGGCGTCCATGTATCGAGAAATGGGCCCGGCGGTGGGGCCGAAACAAGCTGCATGCAGCAGATTTCGTAACCCCCCCTTCCCCTATCCCACCCTTTCGTTCGGCCCGACCCTCTGTTCAAGGCAGGCCTTTTTCACCCCGGGCCCCGGCTCTGAACGCTCCTGGGGCCCAAAGGGGACCTTGGAGGCCGAAGATGGTGAACAGCCTCCGCCGTGATTGCTTCAAGACGTCGATGTCGGGGGGTAGGAGGGTGCTGAGGTGGAGGCGACGGCTTCGATTCGGCCGGGAAGGCCTGGGTCATGTAGGTCAGTCCGAGGCAGACCTCGGACTGGTGGCTGAACCAGATCTGGCCCCGCCCGCCCTTTCCGTGCGCGCTTCCTCGCCGTCGGCGGCGTCGTCAATCGCGCTCTACCTCTTCCTCCTCCATCCCGTCCTCCTCTCCACCACCTCCTCCTCCTCCTCCTCCTTTTTGTTTTTGGGGTGGTCTCTCTCTCTATATATATATATACACGTGTGGTCCTCGTTCCATCCTCTTCCATGTTTCCCTTATCTTCCTCCTCCTCCTCATCTTCCATCACCCTCCTTCCTCCGCCTCCTCCACCATTTCACAGTGTGCATCCTACTCTCCCCATCCCGGAGACGTGCCGAGAATGGGCGCCCCCCTCCACGTATGGTTTTTAGCCACAGGATTGGCCGCGACCTGGTGTTTATCAGATATTTGTTTGCTCCATCCGAGCGCTCTCGGCCCTTCCATGTTCATTTGGAAGAGATGGAGAGGAGCGCCACCCCAAAATCACATGCCACCACTCTGCGAATCAACTGGCCCCAAAGTAAACCAAACTCTGAACGCCAGACGAGCCGACCCGCAATAGGCGAGCACGTGTCATCCACGGCCTCAAAGAGGAGGCGGGCGAGCAGATTGGCACGGGGAGGAAAGAGCAAGGATATTATAAACACGAACACATGGAGGCCACAACAACACCTCGAAGGTCCTCGCCAACCGAATCCAACGAGTCTGGACACCCCAACAACCCAATGCGTGCTTTCAGATCGTCGCACGAATAGGAAACGTAGTGGCCCTATATATGAACAGATGCATTGGGCAATGACCGCAAATCACAATGTAAAGAACAGCGACAAAAGAGAGGAGACGACGAGACAAACCACCTAGCCGCCGTCACGCGGCGGAGCGCAGACGCGCGAAAGAACACGGATCGCCTTGCCATAGTCGCGGGCAACATCCCTCACATATGTAGGGAAGGCCTCGCCGCACTCACAAGAAGGCATGGCGCCATGCCGAGGAAGAGGAGGAGGAGGAGGAGAAGTAGAATAGGAGGAGGAGGACGAGGACGAGGACGAGGACGAGGACGAGGACGAGGAGGAGGAGGAGGAGGAGGAGGAGGAGGAGGAGGAGGAGGA